TGTTAAGTTGCGTTTCATCGGAGGTCAGAGCTGAGAGCTGGTATTAAAACATGACACACACACACACACACACACACACACACACACACACACACACACACACACACACACACACACACACACACACACACACACACACACGCACGCACGCACGCACGCACGCACGCACGCACGCACGCACGCACGCACGCACGCACGCACGCACGCACGCACGCACGCACGCACATATATATATATATATATATATATATATATATATATATATATATATATATATATATATATATATAAACACACTTGGATGGGGGTAATCACAAGCACACACCCACAAGCAAGGTCTTATGTTACTCCTCCTATTTGGGCTGTTGATGCAAGCCATCCAGGTTTTCAAAGGATTTTCTCTCAAGCCGTTCGTACAACTGAACCGGAAATTCCGATGCATTGCCATCGCGGATGTGGCAAGCTCGACCTGACACTCAAACATCAGGATCACGCACATACGGGAAATCGACGCTGAACGACGCGGTTCTCGCTTAGCGCACAGTAATGGCTGATCCTGTGGTTTACCTAACCATCAATATAATATTTCTCCAAAGGTTTTCCAAGGCTATTATGACATCAAGTGTCGTCTTGGCGGTAACACGAGAACAGCCCCAAAGATAATTCATTATGAGCCAAGGTGACCTAGCGTAACCCATTTGATGTGGAAGCCACTAAAGGCCGCCAACTGATGCCGGATAATCCTCCATCACACAGCAGCCGCACAAGGCGTCAAATCTCGACTCCAAAGTACAAATTGACTCCAGATATGATATAAAAACCTGCTTAGTTGATGAAATAGTTTGCCACATGCTGTATTGTATTTTCCTATAGCCTATGTTGTGTTATGTGATAATGTACACGTTTTGAGCAGAAACGACAGAGTAATGTGGTCCCACTAACTCAACCTGGAGGGTGCACGTGCACCTGAAAACGGCTCGATAAAAGTCGCAGATGATATACGTGCTGCCACACCATCATCTGCATTTCTATTCGCACGTTCAGGAGTGACGTCAGCATTGGCATCGTACCAACTCCCGCCTACATTGTGGAACCGAGCGTCGCTACATTACAACCGAGCGGCTAGCGAGCGTGGAGTTAAAACTTATAGGTGCAACTAATGGGGTTTCTGCTAAAATTAGTCCAGAAAACGTCTCGTCCAGCCTGTTTTCTCTACAACCAAACAAGATTAGCATAAGCTAAACAATTCATTAAGCATGCACTAGTCGTGCTAGAATCGCCCCCCGGATCAAATTGCGTGGAAGGCAGGTGAAAGGATCAAACTAGGTGGAAGTCAAGTGAAAGGATCGAACTGCGTGGAAGGCAGGTGAAAGGATCGAACTGCGTGGAAGTCAAGTGAACGGATCAAACTGCGTGGAAGACGGGTGAAACGATCAAACTGCATGGAAGTCAGGTAGCGCGGAATTTTATCACGGACATCGCACGTGGTTTGCAAATTGCCAAGATGTGTACAATCGCACAGCACGCAAGGACACGTTCCACGTAACTTAGAAGCACACGAGTCACGCCCTGCATTCCGTACCATCTGACTTGCCCACCTTCGGATTCTTCCAGCTTTACAACGTGCAGCGTAAACACCCAGCTCATGTTGTCAGAGAGATCTCTTGACCATCAAAAATTCGGTTAAGCCGAGTCAAGACGTAGATCAGTGAGATATCATGGTTCACCTGTTATCGAATACAAAAGTCAACAGTCCGCCAGGACCTTTTCACTGACAGCCCATCCCTTGTGCACCCCGGTTCTGGTAGGCTGACAGGCATCAGACCCAGCTGTGCACCAGCCCGTTGGCCAGTCGCACGGCGGCTCGGTACCTGTTGAGCACGTTGGTGTAGAGTCGACTGTACATGCCCTTGCCGGGTCCGCCGGCGCTGAAGCTGCCGCCGCCGCCCATCAGCGTGCTGAGCACGCAGGTGGCCACGAAGTCGTCACTGTGGTGGGAGCACGACTCGAGGCCGATCACCACGTGCGCTAGCTCAGGCATCGGGGACGGGCCGAGTGAGACGTCCGACAGGTCTTGCTCCTCCTGTCCACATCAGGCCACGTACCGCAAAACATGAACGTTGTCGAGCGCTAACATTTTTATTCCGTCTCTTACCTTTCCCCTACCTCTGAATGAGTAGGCGACAGTGCCCTCCCACCTGAATACGTCAAACATAGGAGAGCTGAAAAGCCCTGGGATGCGATAAGGTCTCAATTTGAACAAAACGCTTAAACACGTACAATGTAACGACAAATGACTAATGCTTTGCAGCCAGCAGTTGTTAATACGATGGCTTCTTGAATGTTTTCTCAACGGAACTGTCATTTTGGGGCTTGATCAAGATAGCAATGCATTTGACAAATAACAACGTTCCAGGCAAAGTACAAGGCAAACTGGAGTGTAGGCGTACGTCTATTCAGAATCCAGATTGACATCAGAAAACAAGTTACTACAAGCTTGTTGAAAAAAATCGTTTTCCTCAAAAAGATACTAATAAAAAGGACATTCAATTTTTTTCGGGGGGGAATTGGCAGCAAAGAAGTTGGCCAATAACCCTTGACTTTGGCTTTTGCAGACCTAAAGATTTGTGCCACGAGTTGCATCTTTAACTGAATAATTATAAACCTAACCCTAAACCATAACCATTTCTTAAAATCGTTAAAACGCTACCGCCGGCTTCGCGTCACTATTAACCAAACATAACAACTTTTGCCAGAGAGGCTCCATGTCAATGTAGACGCCGAAACTTTCTACATATCTAACTGAAACAAGAATCATGATTCAGCGGGTTCAATCCTTTGACTAACGCTCACCAAGACCTGTCCGCCAGTGAACTGGGCGACTGATTTGTCGACACCGATCTTCCCGGGGAGAACGAGGTCCAGGTCCTCCTCCCAGATTGCGGGCGTGTCCACGAAGAACCTGCAACGTCGCAAAATGGTCGCCACGGGGAACAGCACGATTATGGCTGTGTCGATTATGGCTGTAAGACGAATCCCCTTACGCCCACAATGCTCTCCCATCTTGATTTCATGAATGCATTTAGCAGCCCCCTGCGGCTTCCTCAGGGCACCCCAGCGGTGATGCAGGCACTTCGACAAGTGGAGGCCCCTGAGGCCTCCGCTCAGGGGTCTCGCACCGCACCAGCAGCCCGTCTCGAAGGCTTCCCACGTGTCCAAAGGCGCCGCCAGTCCAGTGCACGACAACACGTACTTCTGCGCGGCGTCCACAAGCCTCTGGTGCTCCACGCCGACGCCGGCCACCACCATGCGCTCGGGGGCCAGGTGGTGGCGCAGGTAGGTATACAGCAGGCGACGGCTGATGTTTTCCACGCTGCCCGGCGGGCACGTTTTCGGCAGGCCCAGCGTGTTCTCCCGGTACGCGGCCTGTGCGGGAACGGCAGTGAGGTGACGGAGGTAAATGCAGGCTCTCCTGGGACGTACACTGTGAGGACTTGGTAGAAAAGGGGCAATGACGGAGTTTTCGGATTTGTTCTGCATGTTTTAAGAAGTGTTAGTTGGACGTGCTAAATTTCGCCACTGGACATGTCAAAAAAGTATTACCAACGACCCATAGCAAGAAGCCACACCAAGCGGAGATGGCCTACCAGCCAGAATTCAGTTAAGGGCAGCGCGCACTGGATTGATCACATTTCCTTTGAGTCCAGCAGACAGTGTTATAGGGGTCTTGAACAATAATACAACAGGAAGGCAACGTGGCATGCGTGCAGAGAATGAAGACAGCGAATGAGGCAGACGGCCCTCTTTTGTCAGCGACCAGCAGCACCGGTAGCTTGTGACGCGGTCGAGGTAAGCCCACAGACTGTCACAGACTGTCACAAGAAGACTGTCACAGTAAGACTGTCACAGACAACAGGATATGAGAAAATGCGAGCAGTCGTACAACTGGCAGGGAACGGGACAACACCTAAGCAGAGATTCTTACGGCATGTATCATCTCCATCAGCTGAGCCTCCTTCTGGGGGTTTCTGCCCATGTCCTCCAGCTCGTACCGCACCATCATCCGGGTGGTGTCCATCTGTCGAACCAGAGGCCACCGTTCACATCATCCGCCCAGAGACCACCATTCACATCACCCACCCAGAAACCACCATTCACATCACCCACCCAGAGGCCACCATTCGCATCATCCATCCAGAAACCACCATTCACTATCACCCATCCAGAGGCTACCGTCTACATTCCCCATCCAGGGGCCACCGTCCATAGCACCCATCCAGAGGTCATCGTCCATACCACCCATCCAGAGGCCACCGTTCATACCAATCACCAAGAGACCACCGTTCATACCAATCATCAAGAGACCACCGTTCATACCAATCACCAAGAGGCCACCGTTCATACCAATCACCAAGAGACCACCGTTCATACCAATCATCAAGAGACCACCGTTCATACCAATCATCAAGAGACCACCGTTCATACCAATCATCAAGAGACCACCGTTCATACCAATCATCAAGAGACTGCCGTTCATACCAGTCATCAAAAGATCACCATCCACATCACCCATCCAGACGCAAACGTTCGCATCACGTCCGCTTGAATCTCTCAATGAATCATTCACCGGGAAAACACGACCGACGGATTTACAAACAGACTAACCTCACTGGTACCAGCACGCGAGTTGTGCTGATCTGTTTAGCAGGTAGGTACGCACCATGCCATTTGAATGTCACGGGATCAACTATGGAAAACTGAGCACTGAAGCTCTTGCAGTGTCCTCATAAGGAAGAAGTTGCAGGATAACAGGACTGATGCAGATAGCCACCACCAACATTCCAATAGTATTCATTATTGCCAGAAAAGCATTCATTCTAAACAACAACAAAAAACTAGAAAAGAGGGTGAAGAAAGTGCATGAAACCACAAAAGCAGCCATCTATCAAGGCGCTCGATAAACTAAGGCATTTAACAGCCACCTTGTTCCTACGGTGTGTCGAACGTTCCCAGGGAAGACGTCCCTCTTCATCCCACCATTTCCTGGCGTGGCCCTCCGCAGGGAAGACGTTCCTCCCCATCCTATCATTTCCTTCCGTGACCCTCCACTCGGAAAAGATTTCAGCCAACCTCACAATAATTATTAGCCGTTTTTGGAAAGATTAGCCCACGGCGGCAGAAACTGTATCTATAATGTACCAAGGGTCCGCCAACAGGTGCTAGCAGTGACACGACTGTGGACAGTTTCAGCGTGAGGAGTTCCTTACCACAGAAGCCAGCCGGACAGGTCGTATCTGTCATCTGTGATGCTGTCATTACTGCCACCTGTGAGAAACTGACGCGAGGTCCCGCTCTCGGCCATCGCACATCCCTCAGCATCGTCTCATCGAAAACGCTCAAGAATCCATGCGTCCAGAGCATCTGCTCCAAACGGAGAGAATGATGCGACCAGTGGGCGGAGCCGCACCCGTGTGCCCGCCCTGTCATTGGCTTTGGTGAGGGGGCTCGTGGAAATTGGGGCACTAATACGCAAACCACTTTCGTTGCTGTAATATGCAAACGAGACCTATAGCATCTAGTCCCGAGGGAGCAAAAGGGCAACTGACTTCCCACACCAGCTCAACCACATCGGTCCCTTCAAACTGCTTCACTTTGGACGCTGAAGACTGGAGGATCATCGCCCTGTCGGACGTGACTGCTACGATGCGAGGAGGCCTTCTCACCAAATGCACGCATCAAAAAAACGTACACAAACGTTAACATAAATTACAACGCAAGCCTCCCAAGAAGTACACGAAAGTCAAAAGGTCTCATTAACCACTTGGGTGCCTGAAACTAAGACTAACACACTAAAACAATTGCCATTGCTACTGGCCGTCCCACGACAAAAGATAGAACGGATAAGACCGAGCAATTTGCGCATTTCATGCCCGGATTCAAGCCGCAAAGGTAGGAAGAACTATTCATTTCGGATACACGAGTATGCAACGTGGCAACCGGCCCAAAACGGTCAGCCTGCAATGGCTCGGTTGCACCATGACGTGCAGCACAACCAATCATCTGGCCGGCATGACTGGTACACAAGTGGGAGACGGCCTTATCTGTTGAACTGGCATTGCACTATCTGGGTGGCGAGTTCATAGACACAGAAACAAAACCTGCGTAGGATGTAGTATGTGCCCTTGCAAATCGTTGGAAAGGCACGTATGCAAAAATATCTGAATAAGTAAACGCATTCGCTGACGGCAGTTGCCATTGACACAGTCTCATATCATGCCGTCAGCATAGACAAACCTCGTCCTCCGTGAATAAGGGCCGCAGGATGACATCTGACAGCAGAGATACGACCGCGTTCACATTTTTCGCTTCCGCAGAGGCCGCGTGTATGGAGACATCCCTGGAAAACACACCGTCGTCGGAACAATTATGAAAACATGACAATGTCAAAACAAATCCTGACAACGCCACCCAGCAGTCGTCGGTTGTCGAAGCATCCGTGGAAAGCGATGACAATCGCAGCCCTTCCCGCCTCCATCGCCTGCAGCTTGGTGAGGTCAACCTTGCCTCTCAGCTCGAGGTTCCGGGAGAGGTGGGAGGTCACGGGTCCCGACGCCTCACTACCAGCCAGGAGCCCACTAGGAGGTGGCCGGCGCGACGTCCGACACGTCCCGACAGCTCAACGGTCACCGGAGGTCACCGGAGGTCACCGAATCTTCCGATGTTTCCCCTGTTTACTGAAGCTGTGGTCTGCAGGACAAATCTGTACTCGATTCGTATTCGATAGTTAGTTAGGTGCAATAGTCATGCTTCGCACTGGTGGAACACATTCGTATTACCTATTCCACAAATTCATTATTTGTGTCCCCAATGACAAACATATTTCACCCAAACAACGCTCTCTGCTTCAGGTTGTGTCATACATACCTGGCACATACATGTGTGCATGGACATACACACACACACAGTACAAACCGTTCATGAATACAGGTGAACAGCGAGTTGGCTGAAGGTATCAGCTCGTCTGGTGGCACTAATCGGTCCACCACCATCCGTACCTGGACTGCTGGCAGTCGCATATTCCGCCGAGACGCTCTAACGTCAGCATGATCTCGTTCCGGTCTTTGAAGTTTTTAGTCGCCTGCGCGGTATTCAGCATTTGTCAAAAGCCGCGCAAGGGAGGCAAACCAACAGAGGCGAACAAAAACGCCACGGCTAGGAAAGGGTTTGCAAACAAAGTCTCCTTTATCATGGCAAGAGAAGACAAGCGGCTGCAGATATATCAAGTCCATGTTGGGAGATGTCACAATGGAGTAACCCTTAATGTCAAAACCAGATGAAAACTTCAGTTGAACACAATGCAGGTAACGAAACAGCAAACATTGGATCTGTTGACAACACCGCGAACGACGTGAACGAAGCCTTTAAACAGTGTAATAGTGCGTTTCAAGCTTTTTTAAATTGAATTAATAAGTTGAGGTATCACATTCACATGACATTCACGGCAAACCCCAAAAAACTAGCATCATTCATATTTAGCAAATGAAAAATGAGACGTTTCAAAATAAAGGGCTTATGAAGCGCATTAATAATCTTCTCGACACAAACGCTATCTCGCTAGACCCTTGTCCCTGCACAGGCCGTTTTCGACTGACCCCGAAAGACAGCTTCTCCAGGAAGTGCGAGACGCCGCTGGGATAGGCCACTTCATACCGGGAGCCGGCGTCAGCCACCACTGCCAACCAGCACCGGCACCGTTACACGAGGGCACACGCTAGCCCCTACAAAGGCTCCATCCACATACCACACTAACCACATCATGCACGTTGGACTAAACGATAGATGCGTACCGATACTGCACCGATATGTCACTCAATATCAATTCCGCCAGGTCTATGATTTCGAAACTAGACTAATCGCAAGCAGCTTGGGCAGAACTCTGTCCCTGCCCATCAGAGATCTCGAGGACGGTTAATTCGATTTTGATGTGACACAGGCAATTTGACTGTTGTCAGCATACTATTAATATTTACGAGCCTAAAAACTTAAAAATATAGGAAATTTATTAAGGGGCATAAGATATATCAAGTACGAATTCCTTTTGAATGGTGCCTGTGGTCATACGCATTGCCAGATTTATGAAGAAAAACAAAAACTCAGTTGTGTAAGGCACATGGCATTTTATGTGTTTTCACTCAAACACTACATAAATCATGGTACGTAGTATGACACTTGACATAATCGGTGATTTTAAAAGGTGCTCGTAATGTTTTTTGCAGAAACGTAATATAAATACTACGCCAGGTAATTTGTAAGGCTACATATGCGGTTATGAAGGATTTCCCATTGTCCCATTCCCACCCTTTCAGTACCTAAGCACTTCACTACCAAATATATGATCAATCACATTCACGACACTTATTTTACCATAGAATGAAGATGAAAGCTTGCCACACGCCTTAAGGCCTTGCGCAACGCAAATGCCACCAAAGACGGACTTGGAGCTGCCCACAGGTTACCATTAAAAATAAACGTTGGAAATTTCAACATTGTCATTTACCTGCATAACTTTTTTAAAAACTTGTATTGGTATTTATTTACATGCCATATATTTGATAAGATCAAAAATTTGTGGCGCTTTGGTGAACGGTTTGGAGGCGACAGTTGCTAGCTTTTCTCCACACAAAAATGTATGATGTGCGGCTTGTTTGTGTACTTCTCACTTTTAGAAGTAGCAGGATACGTCCGTCACGATAGCTCAAGTAGTTAGAGCGTCTGCCTCCCAATCCACCCACCCGTGGTGGGGCGCGTTCGAGTCGCTTCAGGCGCTTGCTATTTGCTCCCGACAGATATGGTCTGTGGCCGATGGCACCGGTCACGCTGAAGATCAGGTGACGCCAGAGGGCAGGATGGACCTGAGCCGAGCATTTCGGCATGTTCAGCTTTTGCCGCCAAATTATGTCGTTGACTTGGAATTGCAAGTTCGGATGGTAGGAGTCAGGGCTAACACAGAACTGCTTAGCACGAGCAGTGGCCCCAGAAATCCACCCATTCAATATTTGGATCAAATATTAAAAAAAAGCACGGACGCACATTGCACGGGACGTTCGCGCGAATGGGCGTCCGCAAGCCCTACTTGAAGCAGGGTCACTGAGATTCTTGATCGAAAGCATTTCGATGCTACCCAGTTGCGTTCAGTGGTTTTCCTGACCGAACGACAAAGCACGGTTGAAAGGAGCCCTTCATGAAAGAATACGGGTAGCACGTGTATCACTGCTTCGGCCCATTCGTCCTGTGGTCGAGAAGCGGCGCCGCGAATCCATGCTCTGAATACGTAGCGGGTTGGGTCTTCAGTAGGCAGCATTGGGTTGCAGTTAGTATGCGGCAGTTTAATTCCTGAAGTTTATGCATTAGGAGCTGTTACATAAGAAAACAAGTAAAATGGACGATTCCGTGTTGCACAGTTTGTTGCTAGGAAGTTGACGCGTTAGAATTGCTTAAATTGCACTCAATGTTACAAGGATAGTTAAGTATAAGTATATATAAAAATAGTAGTACAGTATAAGTATATGTATAAAGTAAAGTATATAGATATAGATAGTATAGTATATCGCGTGGATGTAATGTACGTAGAAGTAGTATCCGGAATTTGTGTTGTTGGCGCGATCTGTGTTGTATCTTTTCTCTGTGCGCCTTTCTCAATACTGGGCGGTAAGAAAGAAGTACGACAAGAAAGCACAAAAATCTGGTCTGACGGCCTACTCTAGGGAACATACTGTAAGCTCAGACGCTTTCAACTGCCATGACTTGTCAGCTCAAAGTATAGCTTGCGCCACGTTTTGTCCGCATGGCGGGATAGTTTTCCGAGAGATGCTCTTGCACGCGTATGACAGCCGCAGCGCTTACGCCGCCGGTCGCCGCGCGCCGTGCCAGCTGGGCCTCCAGGGGTGTGGTGCGGCGGTCTGCCTCACCTCCGACGGTGCAGTGCTGGCCGTGCTTGGGCTCTGAGGCGACGCGCAGGCCGTTGCTGAGCGTGGTGACCTGTGTCTCGGTGGCGCCGAACACGGCCGTCGAGCTGACCGGCATCGGCAAGCCCGGCAGCGGCTCCGACAGCGGGATCTGACTGATGTCAGCCACCGAGCCGCCATCCTCTGGGCCTGAAGAGCTCGCGGCGCGGGACTGGGGCGCCGCCGACACGCGCCGGGCGGCCCGAGCGTGCCTGAAGGTCGAAAACGCGGCAGCCAATGTGACATATGCTGATATTGTATGCCATGCCAAACCATGCTGTTGTGTTCACTGGGGCTTTATGACACACTCAGCCACAAAGGCTACATGGAGTCGCCTACATATCACCCTGGCAGGAATGGCAGGCACCACAGGGAATCAAACCACATGTCTCTGGTTTCCCAAACATGAAACTTAGCTGTTCTAAACATGCTACACTTCTGATGTTTTTTGACAGCAAGAAAGCAAATCTGAAAATGGCCAAAACCAATGGGATAGGGGCAAAAACAAGCAAAAAGGTAGGTCCAATAATCTACTCTGCTTTACACTATTCAATGAAAGTGGCCACCATAGCATGATGGCCTCTTCCCTACTGAGTGAATGATGGGGTTTACTGACAGGCAATTTGCATTGCCTCTGAGTTGGGTGAAGACAACTTTGCCCACTCCATCTTAACATTTTATTTCTTATAACAGCACAGCAACACTGACACTTTTCTCCTGCACTAAGTGATCTCTTCTCAGTATTTTACCTTTTCCGGAATGAACAACTTCTAAAGCATGAGTCACAATATTTACTTTTGACTTCACTTTCAGGCTAAACTAGCACTAAAAATCTAGCACCTGGCAAAAGTTTCATGAAACTAAAAACCATGCTGTGTCATTGCTGGGCCAGCAGCTACAACTTGTTGAGTTCATTAGTCCCAATTTTACTGCATCTCACTGAACTCAGAATAGTAAATCTGCACCTTTAAGCACAACAGCAATTGCCAGTTATTCAATGATTTCTGCATTTTGCAGTGGTCACATCAGGTCAACATCTTGTGAGGCAAAAGGCCAGGATTCAACAAAAAGAATGATCAGTAGCACAAATGTCATGAGATGAGACAGGGATGTCAGTAATGTAGAGGTTAAACAGAACCTTTCTTGTAAGGTTGAGAGGCAGACAATACCATGAAGTTTTAGCAGCAAAATGCACCATGATGCTCCAATCATACACATGACACATTTCTTTATTGTAACAAATGAGTAGATAAAAGCAACAGAGGTGACCCTCAGTATTTTCCAAGTAGACATTTACCTTCGCAACTCTGTGACTCCCGGTCGAATATAGCTAAAATAAGTACTCAGGACATCCAACAGCACCCTGAGAAAAAACTTTGAATGTTGTGTGTATGTGCAGCAGGCTTTTCAGACACCACGACATTCGAAGCCTGCTAGGTGGCCAACCTAGCTTGTCTAGTGTCCACTCACCGGGAAATTCCTCTCCAAACCTGCAGCATGGCTTAATCAATCAGATAACCACCAAAACAATCCCATCCAACCAGGTGGAGGACCAGTAGGTATCCAATAACCGAGCTAACTACGGCTTATGCAATCAAATGCAATGAGAATGCATGTATTCTGAAATTTCGCACGCCGATCACACGCAGAAACTTCGCGCCGGCCTTGTCACCTTCGCGCAACAGACGAAGCAATTAAGGCTTCAGTAAACTGGGTACAAGAGAGGGACTAAATGACTGACAAGATTTGTTAACAAACCCAACATCCGATTCTATGGGATTGATAAACAACCCTTCTTCATTCGAAGCCACTTGGTCGATAACAAGTTTTCCAGCAGCAGATGACTTTTGGCTGGGTAAAATTAGCACAGCATATCTAGAAACGGAGAAGTCCATTTGCAGGCAACCCATGACTCGAGACTAAGGGAATGCTCGTAACAAGAACTCCACCAGCCGGTGCGCCCTAGTCGTCAACTTATCCCCTTCAGAACATGATCTTAAAGCAGGTCAAGCCACCAAAAAACGAAACAAAACGCAACGATGCCACCAAAGTTGGCTGCATACCACTCCATGCTCCGAGTCCATGGCACCAATCGACACAAAACTGTTACCAATCAATGCGCCATGGCCGATAACGCCCTTTCCAGAACCTGGTGACCTTTTGGGCAGGTAAAATGTCTCGAAAATACCCCAAACCACCACAAATTATTTTCAGATAGCTCCATGCCCTAGCTTATGAAACCGATCGGCCTAGCACCTTTACCAATCGATACGCCATGGTTGATAACATTTCCGCTCCATAACATGGTGGCCTTGGGTCAGGTTAAGGATCACTAAAATGTCCAAAACCGAACTACATTCAGTAACGAAAGCCAGTACAAATAGAAAAAAGAAGAAAAAAGACAAAGGAAGTCAGAAGTCAGTACAAATGAACGTTCGTGCTTGGCACAGTGGGCGGCGAGGGTCACATACCGAGAAGAACATTGGTACAAGTTTGAACCAGGGCGTGACTGTAAATGTGGGATACCGCATTCCCTGGAGCCTAGTTGCGCTTTGAGAAGACCTCCTGTGCTAAACGACATATGGGAAAAATCAAAACCAGAATAAAGCGCTTCGTTGAATTTGCGGGACGAAAGCCCCGTCGATTTCCACAAATTAGGGTGTTGCAAACGGAACAGAATACACACGTTGGAAAAGCAAAACAAATTAAATGCATTGCGTTCATTGTGGCGAGCAATGAATCTTGTGAGATTTCTCCCGCCGCCAGCGCGTACAGAGGCCACCGGGGTTGATTGATGCACCTTTACGGGGTCATGCGGAATAAATAGGTGTGGGGGGGGGGGGCAGGCCCGATTACAAATGTCATGCGATAGCACCGAAATGTGATACCATAGGCGGACGGTCTCACTCACAGAGGTTACTTGCAGTTTTTTAAACAGTTCTGTATTTTGTGACGCGTGCGCTGAGAGCCCGGTTGCGATCCATAATGCACCGTGAAAGGGATCATATCAAACCGATATGCTTTGGTTACCGAGCTCAGTTTTCGATCGTCGTGCGACAGCACTACAACGTTTTTTTTTTTTAATTTGATCCGAACCCTTTGAATGGATAGATTTCTGGGATCAGCGCTAGCTCGCGCTAAGCAGTGCTTGTTGTGTGAGCCCTGAACCACACCACCCGATCGCGCAATTCCAGACAACGGGAGAATTTAGTGGCGAAAGCTTAACGCACCGCAATGCTCGGCACGGTCCGTCCTGTCCTCTGAAGTCAGCTGACCTTTGGAGCGACCGCTGCCACCGGCCGCAGGCCATACCTGTCAAGGTCAAATAGCGAGAGCCCTAAAGCGACTCGAATCCCACCCTGCCGCGGGTGGGTGGAGTTGAAGGCAGGCACTCTAACCAACTGAACCACCGGGACGGCCAACTGAGCCACCGCGACGGACTTGCGTTGCTATCAAACTCGCCCGTTCTTGCTTGCGGAGATCGAATATGATTCTGTTGGAAATGTTACCACACGTTTTGCACCATGCGCCGACGGCCCGACGCATTGCAAACAACCTCCGTGAGTGAGTGAAATCAGTGAGCGCCGTGGCCCGGCCTATTTCTGGCTGCCGTGCGATAACGCCGTGCTGCATTCCCACTCCCACTGGGTGTTCCCGAGCCTGCCTGTGACATATCGCTTAAGGTGGTGTTTAGTTCACTGAACTGAACGATGGAGTACAACATTTCATTTGTCCTTTATGTTGCATATGTGAGCTCCTTTTACCACTCCCCCCTGACATGCCCTTAGGCAATTTTTTTCTTCTAACTTCACCTGAGCAAATGTTTTCTACGCTACCTATTCACGCCATACCAATTGTATTGCCGGCACACATTTAAGGCTATGTTTCTTTGCAACATCTTCCTCAATACGTGGACACGCCTTTCCCTCTATGCATATCAACTGTCTGCGTAAATTGACTTCTTTCTGAGGGACTCACATTTAGGTGCTGGCGGTATAATATTTAGGTAACTCTGAGTATTTCACAATGTTTGGAAAAAAGACAAGAATCAGTACCTGGAACCGCTATACTTCAGATTTGATAATTAAAAAAGATCGTGGTGCTAGGCTCATATAGGTGTAAGATTTCTCAGTTACTGAAATACAATGAGATCATTCCGACCTATACGGTAATATTGCACATGCATGAGCCTAAAGTCAAGTTCTTTGGTGGATGATACATTTGATAACATAACTGAACTGAGGACCATGTGCTCTGTGAGCCACGAGATATTTGATGACTTGAAGTCGTGTTCTTAAATTTGACTGGTTGAAAAATTCAGTATGTCTCAGTAGTCAGTGATGTTGCAGCAATAACGTCGTAGGGTGTAAGGGGAGGGGAAACCAATTTGGGGATCGTCAGGAAACATTTCATTTAAATTCCACTTAGTGTGGAAGCAACAGGTTAAGCCCATCGATGATCTAACAGTACCGCTTACAATCGTTCACGAAGCAGTCAATAGTCTCAAATCATCGCATGTGTGCTAATCATCAAAACCGTCATGACGTTCATCGCAATCACGTTTGGGGAAGACGACAAGATTATCGCTAACGCCGACTGCATGGTGCGCGTGCTGCTGGACTGGCTGCAGGAGCGTCTGCGGCCGCTGCTGCCGGCCGACGCGCCGTGCGACCTCGACTTGTGCGATGGCCAGGGCGGCCTGCGTCTGCTGACGGCGCTGCCGGCCGCCAGCCGCGGGCTGGTGACGCTGGCGCAGGGCGCCACCTACCGGGCAGTGGTGCGGCGCCGCGGTCAGCCGGGCGCCACCTTCCGGCCGCTGGGCGGCGCCGAGCTCGCGCCCGAGCTGGAGGCACGCCTGCTGCGCGCCGAGTTGGCTTGGGAGCTGGCGGCACCGCGGCTGGAGGGTGCCGCGCCGCCAGAGGTCGAGCAGGCCGTGCAGCAGGCGATCGCGGCCAGTGCCTCCGGCTCGGCCAGCCTGACGCGCCAGCTGGCGAGGCTGGGCCAGGACGGCCGCGTCGAGCGGCTGGCGGCGCTGGAGGGCCGGGTGGGATCGCCGGGAGCCGCCCGTGCCAGCCGGCCGACTGCCAGAAAGCGGGCCGATGGTGGCCGCTCGGTCTCCAACAGGTCACGTCAGAACCGCTCCACCGGACAGCGGACGTCGCCGGCCAGACGCTGACGGCTGGCACCGAATGGTGTGGCGCACTGTCTCCGCCTCGGGATAGTGACTGCTTGATGGACTGTTAGCGTCACAAAGTGGAACAGCTTGTCACTGTTACGGGGTCGGCTGTATGACTGTCACTTTCATTGTGCAAGGACCCCATGAAAGACAGTTCCCGTCATCGCGTAGCCATTTGTGATAGGCAGCCACCTTGACCAAGCAGAGCAGTATGGCGGAATAAGTTTTTTACCTGGCGGCATGTAAAGCAACGAAAAGATAAGCGAATATATATCAAGACGCTTAGTCCTACACAAAATAGAAGCTAGTTGGTACAGCCAAGTAGATAATCAAAAATGGTTTTCAGAAGCTCCTGGTTTAGGTCGAATCCGAGCGTATATGTGTTTGAAACGACTCGCGGAAAAATCTCAGTGATCAACACATTAGTTTTTATCAGCTCCAGAACGGAGCATTGCGTGTCAGAATCGCTATTTCCTCAGCTTTCTGCATCAACACCAGGACGTGCCTGCAACTTCAATAGTGAGATGCATTTTTGGTTGCTGCATGCCTCTAAAAACGTTATTTTGAGCACCACAAGTGCATTGAAAACGAAACGATTTGTTTTACAACAACCTTTAACCCCTCAACCTTTAACCCCTCAACCAACCTACAACCTTTAACCCCTCATTGTGTGGATTGAATCTGACCACCTTGATACGATCGATCAATAAAACAACGCAGCGCGTTTTCTCTTCCATTGCGGTTCCAGACACTCAACACGCCGCCCTGAACTTCCGTGGCTGGCTTCGCTGTGATGCCTACTTCTCGAGGGGTGCGAAGCTTGCGCTCTGCTCATGAAATGAAGCAAACGAATATAGGTCTAAGCCCATCAACTTTGAGGCCTAGCGCGGCCTGAGCCGACTTTGTGACACTCGCCGGGAGTTACACTTACCAGGGATTTCATGTCACTTTTGTCCTGCCCGTGCTATTTCACGCGGGGTCAACTTCGTGCCGTATCTTCCTAATGAAATTGAAACATTAAGCACCCATATCACCATAACGACACTATTAGCAGAAACGTTGTATGGGCAATACCAACAAAGCGTGTCGGCGCCGAAATGCTCAAACTGGAGCAACCCGTGCTGTTGCTGAGCAAGAGGACTGCACGCGTTCGGTAAACCATGGTACCTCGTGCGAAAAGGGTAGCACGCAGGGGACATATTTGGGGAAAATTACGGGTATGGGTACGACGTTTACGAAATTTCTGGCTGATGGGTCAAGAAATCTAACAAAGTGCTACTGTTGGCGATTCTCTTCGTCCAAATTGGCTGTCTTTACACAACTTTTGCCGTTTTCAAAAGAAAAAGGAAGTTTGAGTGAAAACTTCCCTAAAGCTCTTCCATAACTCAGGACTAGTATTGTGTAATGGGAGGACACAACAGATAAAGAATGGGTACGGGTGGGTATGGTGCGTATGCGCGTTAAGTAACGGGAATTTCACTCGCGCTGGCTTCTGGCTAGAGGCCTCCACTTCCCAATACAAGGGCAAACTCTCAGCAGGCGTGCATGTCTACAGGATCTTGTTATAGATGCCCGACTGACACGTCGCGAAGATAGGCTATTCCCGTTTGCAATCATGAGTCTGCAGCTCTGAGTTGGCAGCCCCTTGTCCGCAGCTCCGGGTCGGCAGCTCCGGGTCGGCAGCTCTGAGTTTGCAGCTGCAGGTCCCCAGCTCCGGGTCCGCAGCTCCTGGTCCCCAGCTCCGGGTCCGCAGCTCCGGGTCCGCCCCCGCGGGTCCGCAGCCGCAGCTCCGGGCGCTGGGCTCGGGCCTCAGCCGACGCCGCGCGGTGCGCCACTCCCGCTGAGATCGGCCGGCCGGGAAGCCGTGGGCCGCTCTGTTTGGTTTGGCGGTAGGCGAGCGCGGCGGGTGTCCGCACGCCGACGATGTGCCGAGCTCCGTCCGCGGAGAGGCGCCCACCGGCCGACCGAGGCGCGCAGGCGACCCGACCTGCAGTGAGGCCCGCCTCCGTGCAAACCCTCCCGGGGCTCAGACTCGGCGTGCGCCGGGTGTAATGAGCTACCATCGTGATTTGGGGTGGACGGTTTCATGTGACTGAAAAGCATGGTTGCACATCACTAAGTCGATACGATACAAGCATTCCGTTGGTACCCTGGCAATGTTCACCACAAATGTTCACTTCTGAAGACGCCATGACGTAGCGCACTATGCCAGCCCAAATATTTTGCAAGTTAAGTGTGCGATCCTAACGCTATTTTAAGACATGGAAAAGCCTAGTCATATGGTTTAAGCTTGAGATCATTCACCGCCGTGGAAGATGACATAATTCTGAGCATTGGCTGCAGGTGAACACTCATGTGAGAGCCAACACAGTCAGTGCCCATTGAATAATGCGATGAAGGGCGAAATCAACTGATCAGAGCATCGTCATCTCGACCACGCTGCTGTGCTTTTCTATTAACATATCTCCCTGGCCAATATGTTTGTGTGGACCGACAACATACCTTGACAGGCTGGCTATGTAACAGTATTGACTCGGTATCTAGTGATGTGGAATGAGTGCATGTCTATGCTGCCCAATTCACAAATGTGGAAATATCGGGCTTTGCAGGCTATACGGCTGAAGCCCCCCTCCCCCCCCCTGGGAGACGTCAGAACGATCATCCGAGACGAAGGCGTAGATGTCTGATGAGGTGCGGTGTAGTTACATCTCCGTGGATTGAATTTTCAGGCTCATATTCAATCCTTTGCAAGTCCAAACACTAACCGGTGAAATGCAACATAACAAAAATGCTGATCAGAGTATCGCTACGAATTTATTGGATCGCGGCCGTACATTCACTTCATGTCAGTTGAGAAATGAATATAACGCACTCATAGACGTGCAGTTTCTGAAAGTGGCATGCGGGCGTTTTCTCTGTCCCAATCATTTTGAGTTACAAACATAACCAAAATATACTCAACTTATCCTGCCATTTATGTGCTACGTGGTCGGGAACGTGCAAGCATCCTGATGCAATCAAACACATGCCACCACCTTTATTAATATATGATATGTGAAGCAGATTAAGAAGCATTCATGTAATTCTTCGGAGGTAACAGCAGGTGGATCAGGCCAGTGGATGGCTCATCAGCAAAGAAGTGCGCCCCGCATGACAGCCGGGTGTTGCTGCTGATCAGTCCACTGACTCTGACTCACACAGCGTTCGGCTGCAGAGAGTCAGCGACTGCTAGTTGGCACCCTGACTCTGACTCATGAAGCTCGTGAGGTGTTGCAGGGAGATTGCTGCTCCACGCTGAGCTCTTTTGATTCGACTTTCCAAGCAATCAGCGCTGAAGAAAGCCGACTGTGCGCAGCTAGCCATTCAGCCCTTACAGAAGATTAGTCCCTCTGAACCTGACCGTCTGCATCAAAACCAGAAATATTCCCTCAGCTCAGTCACACCCGTCTGTTAACCTCAGGTACGCTCGAGAGCCTGCGTACCAGCACCGACCCCTCTCGTGCCCAGGTCACAGCGATCGCTCCGACCACGTGCCGAGCCAGCACGTGTGGGCGCGGCCGGCCCCGACGCCGTCCGCGCGACCCGATTATTTATACGGCCGGCGGCTGCGGCAGCGGCGCCGCTGGCACGGCTGCCGGCCGCCAGTGAGCGCGCCGCCGCCGACGGCCGAGGAGATGGAGCGACGCGCCCGTGACGAGAGCGGCGGCACCGAGCCGCCCTGCCAGCAGTGGACGGTGTCGGCCGACATCTGCTTCGGCGCCACGGCCGGCGGCGGCGTGCGAGCGACGCACAGTTTCGGGCCGGCCGAGCAGGCGAGGGCGTCCGGCGTCCGGGGGGTGCACAGCTTTCATCACACGGGCGATGGCACGCGGCCGGACGTGCACGTCACCTACGGCCCGCACAACTCAGTGCAGCTGCACTGCTCCTGGAGCAGCACACCCAGCCTGCAGCAACAGCAGCAGCCGTCGCCGCCTCGGCAGCAGCAACCACAGCAGCAGCTGCAGCAGTACGGCAGGAGCTCATCCGACTTTGGCCAGACCCGCTCTCACCCGGCGCGGGGTCCTCCACAGCGGCGACCGCCGTGGAGCAGCGTCTCACCCGACGGCCGAGCTGGAGCTGGTGCCGAGCACGCGCGCTGCCGCAGCAGTTGCAGCATTGTGTTGGAGCCGGCGGCGTCCGGCAGGGAGCGGCTGGGTGTGCGCCGCTGCTCCAGTATTCACGGCAAGTCGCCCAGTCCGCGGCCGGCAGACGGAGCGCCGCCAGACACGGCCGCGAACGGCGGCGGAGTTGCGTTACAGGGCGAGCGCGGCAGACAGCAGGAGCTGGGCGCGCGAGTGCCGTCTCAGAATGGCGAGCAGCCGGTGGCGGGCGCCGTCCTCGACGAGAAACGCAAACGAACGACCTTTCGCGCTGATGGAGAATGTGAACAGACCTTCTCCCACTTCCGCGAAGAGCACGAACAATCGACGTATGCCCGTCAAGAATCGGACCGAAGACCTCGACAGGGCGATGGGCATGAGCCGATAAGTCAGCAGAACATTTTACAGAAAACGCAGAGCATCCAGCCAGCGACGTCATCGAGAACTTCGAGACCCGAGCAGCGACGCCAGCGTGTGGAGCCAGAGCCACGCCGCCGGCCCCGGTCCCACTCGCACCAGCGGCCGGCCTCTCCCCGGAGCAGCCGCCGTAGCGATCAGTCGTCTCGCCACTGGCAGCCAAACGGCGACGCGCTCCGGTACGAACACTACCGGGACGATGGTGGCGAGGCGAGCAGCTCCGCTTGGGGCGTGCACCGAGCGAAAAGCCTCGCCGAGGGCGAGTCGTCTCCTCACCGGGGCGGTCAGCGGGTCGGCGGCAGGCGCCGCACCTTCTCGGAGCTCAGCGCCGCCTCGGCCGATCCGCGGGGCGTCCCGTCGCCGGACCGGTTTTCGGAGGCGTCACACTGCACGTGCCGCAGTGCGCGGCACCTCTTCTGCGCCCAGTGCGGCCGGTCCAGGAGCGGTGCAGGCTCGCACGCCGGCTCGCGCGCGGGCGCCAAGAGCATCCTGGAGCGGTTCTACGAGCACTTTCACCCACACGTGCCGAAGCCGGCCCAGCCGCGAATGGGCCAGGCGGTGTACAAGATGAGCCACCCGGTGCGGCCGGCGCCGGCGCCCGCCACGCCGCCCGAGGCCGAGCGGGGCCGGCGGAGGACGTCGCGTCGCTCCAAGCGCGCACCGCACGGCCGCACCGTGCACATCGACGTCTACTGCACCGGCTCGGAGGCCGACGACAGCGAGAGCGGCGACTCGGGCGGCGCCAGCGGCGGTACCTCCACGCCGCAGACCGTGTTCGAGACGGGCCAGTACCGGGTGGTGCACCGGCGTATGCGGCGCTCACTGCCGCGCGCCCTCTACCGGCGGCGGCGCACCGCCAGCGAGGAAAGGCCGGGCGCTGCGCGGCGCCGCACCGCCGGCCGCGACGACTCCGACTCGGAATCGCCGAGTCGCGCCTCGGCCACGCCGCACGACGTCACCGAGTCGGTAGACATCAGCTGCTGCTCGGCGGCCGAGTCGGGCACCACGTGGCGGGACTCGGACTCAGAGTCGCCAGCACCGGACGTGGCGGTGCCGCCGGCGGACGACGGCAAGACGTGGCGCTCACCAGACGAGGCACGCCGCCAGAGGGCGGGTGGACTGCCGGTGTCTGACAGCTCGCCGTCGCCCGGTCACCAGCCGCCGACCGACTGGTGCGAGCGCAGCGACACCATCCGAGTCAGGCCGGCCGCCGAGCCTCCAGCACCAGCGCCAGCGCCAGCACCGGCGCCGGCCCCGGAGGCGGCTCCGCCGCCAAACCCAGTGTCGGCTCCAACGCCGGTCGCTGCCGCGAAGGCGTTGCCGCGCGTGCTGGTGACACCCGTGCCGCGGGCCGGACCGGCGGCAGCGCGCGCGCCTACCGGGCTGCCCTCGCTGCCCGAGATGTTCCAGAGGCTGCTGGTGCCGCTGCGCCGGCCCGGCCACCACGTGGGACCGCCTAAGAACCCGACATGCTCGTGCAGGAGCTGCGCGGCGCACAGCGAGCAGAGTCGCGCGCGCGGCCGTGCCATGAGCGAGTCGTTCGTGGAGCGCGAGCGACTGGCGCCGCTGGCAGCTCGCCTGCCGCACACGCTAGACCGGCCCGGCCGGCGCCCGCCGCCGACCTTTGGGACGTTCGCAGAGCTACGGGACCGCATGGCGGGCTTCGCAGCCGCCGCCGGGGCCGTCGCTCAGCCGCGGCGCGCGCCGAACCCCGACAGACCTCGCGGTGGGGGAGGCGGCGTGGATGCGCGGCCGCCCGAGTGGGAGATGACAGGCACAGTCAAGTCCGCTGGATGCTCAGACAGTGACGGCAGCACTCCTCAACTTCCATCCAATTCTGGGAAGACGGCTGGCGGAGGTGAAGTGCATCAAGTAGGTGAGTTTGCATTAATGGCTTCAAAGCTTCGTAGTCAGCTTGTGGATGGACACGGAAAAAGTTGGCGAATGTTCTAAGGCTGTGCATGATGCAACCAGCACACTTCTTGCCTCGTGTCATATTTCTTTTTTTAGGAATGCAGCAAAAAATGTCTATTTTAAGGCGAGTCCATCCATCCATTTAACCTTTGCGCACGTTTCAGGTTTGGTTTTTGGAACGCAGCACGAGATCTATGTTTTAAGACGCGTTCATCCAGCATATAGTCACTTTTAAGCAACCTTTTTTCACCCTTGTAGCTCACTAACAACCACCCGCAAATCTGTCACTGCAGCGCAGTCGTGACAAGTCCTAGTGCCCATTCAACCGCGTATGAATAAGACCTTCTCGGACTCTCCAAAAGCGTCAGACCGCACCCGCCTGTCGCTCGGCCGAGCAGGCGACAGTGTCGCTCGGCCGAGCAGACGACAGTGTCGCTCGACCGTCCAGGCCTGCTTGTCGCTCGTCCGTGCAGACGTGCTGCTGGACTGGCGCTCACTTCAGCTGGCGGACCGCGACGCCAAGGTCGGTCGCTTCATTAACCCGAGCGAGGCGGCGCGCTGACAGGCGGCGGACCGGCCGTGTTGTGATGACCCATTTCAGGTGACTCGGCGCGTGCCGCCGGCCAGGTCGTTCGTCGCGCCGCGCTTTAGGAGGCGCCCGCTCTCGCTCTGATTGATCGCCTGAGCCTCTGTTGGCGGAATGGCTCCGACGTGGCCTCGTTGCTGTGATCTATTGGGTGTTTTTTTGTTTGGCGTTGTTGATGAGGTGCTGGTTTGGTGGGCTGCGATTGTTCTGAAGGGGGACTGGAGGCTGCTCCTTGACTGGTCACTGATGTGCAATTATTTCGACATTTCGTGCGTCCCATTAATCTTTATGGATGGGATGTCTAATGAAATGTGAGGCTCAGTATAACAATGGTACAATGTTTCCAATGAAGTTGCAAGGCCATTATGCCACTTATTGATGGCTACAGAAGTTATGTTAGCGAAATCAATACCACGAGCTGCCGGTAGCGTGCGAAAAACCTGTAGCGCTGTAGGGATATCTAGGCAGTTGTGTAAAACACATGTGCAATGACCTAAAGACAGCTCCAGAACGTGAAGAGTTCAGACTGTGGAAGCCAACAGGTACTGGTGACCTAAAAAGTCAGTCAGCATTCTGCGCTCATTAAAAAAGAACAACGCGGCCATTTGCAGCACTGCCTGTGCGGGAACAAAAGACAGCTGTAACGAGACAACCGTTCGATTCACCGTTGGCTGGCTACTGAGCCGTCCGGGCCAACAGTCAGCCGATAATGCGATGGGACAGGCGCTTTGTATGCGCTGCGCAAGTGCAGCGCGTGAGCATAAGGGAGCACGTGCCATCAGCTGTACCAGGCTCCATCACAGATCCCAGAGCGAGGGAGAGAGAGAGAGAGAGAGAGAGAGAGAGAGGAGAGAGAGAGAGAGAGAGAGAGAGAGAGAGAGAGAGAGAGAGAGAGAGAGAGAGAGAGAGAAGAGAGAGAGGAGAGATAGATAGAGAGAGAGAGAGAGGAGAAGAATAGAGGAGATAGAAGAGAAGAGAGATAGAAGAGACGAGAAGAGAGGAGAGAGGAGGGAGAGATAAAGAGAGCAGAAGATAGCGTAATAGCGAGTATCATAGATAGAGAGATAGAGAGAGAGAGTAGAGCCTCGAGAGAGAGAGAGAGAGATAGAGAGAGACGTATCCAATGCGAAATAACAGCATGAATCCTGCTTTCCGAAGTAGTATGCATTATGCAGTTGGACTTCGAAGCATATCACTGACAGGCTAGGGGTGCTACCGTTGATCCTGCTTGCATGTTGTTTTTCTTAAATTGTTGACTTTGTGTCGCGCCTCTGTGGTATGTTCAGTCAGACCGCGTAGCACGCCACTCAAGACATGCCGGCGTGGGGCCGCTGGCCTGCATATGACGTCAGCCCCCTGGCAGCTCCGCCCAGAAATGCCGTCCACCATGCTATATCTGACCAGGGAAGCCACCTGGTGCCCGCACGCTGGACAACGGGTGGACAGGCAGACCGGCAGCGAGTCTGGAGGGGCGAACATGGCCGACAGACAGCCCATTGCGGGAATGCTGCGATTTAAGTGGCATTTACTATGAGAGGAGTTAAGTGCAACTCACTTAAGCCATAAAACAACAGACCAAATCATTTTGTGCTAAGACATCTATGCAAATTTGAAATGGGTTTTGTGGGCATAAGCCAAATGCTGCTCCCGCCACACACACCTGTTCATAGTTTCTTTATATTCCGCACGAAGGCTGATCTTGCACCAGAAAACACTATTTAAAATCGAGTGCCGCTTTCACGGTGGCTGTTTCCATCGGGTACTAGCGCGAAGTCATCATCAGCATCTTAACAAATGCATGAAAATTGGTGCGAAGGGCAACGAAACCATTATTGTTCAAAGCTATGTGAGCATTCAGGTATCTTTGCGTGGAACATTATGCATATAAATAAGACAGTCATTTTAGCCTCATTTTTCATGGCATAACCAGGAGAATGGACAGATAGATACATTGATATTTTGGCTTCATGCCCTGATCAATACAAGTATCAGTAGTTGCTGACAGCACCTACGAATATCAGAAGTTACTGTTATTCGTGTCGATAAAAGCACGAAGCCAAGCATCAGCCCCCATATATCTATTCTCCTGGTCATTTATTCTCTTGTTTTTTCTTCTTTTCTATTGTTTATTTCTGGTTATTTTTCTATTCCTGGTACATATACAGAATGTCCGTGTCTGGACATTGTGTACGTGCATTGCTTTTTTGAAAATTGGCCATTATGAAAAGGTCAAGGTTTTCGCTGCCTGTTGTGCGCAACTATGCCCCGAAGGGTCCGACCTGCCCTCAGTGGCGTTGTCTACCATGAACAAACTAGTGATCGCATTAATTACTTATCTCATCATATCCCAAAATCTGCGGCATTAAACTTAACCCAGTCGTCCCAACACGTTCTTGATGTTTTACAGTCTGGAAAGAAAAATGGTTATGTGAAACAACTGGAAGGAAAAAGGTACTGACCATGACTTTGTAGACTTAAGAAAAATGCAACATACTGTTGCAAGGTCTTTTAGCTCATGGGATCCATTACGCTATTCATGCATTCGCAATCGGATCGAAATACGAATCTGCCGGATACGCTAGATAGAAGGTTACCATTTTCGGCCGTCCTCATTATAAGCGAAATTTTGTCATGCCATGCATTTACGCAAAAAGCAGGCGTTAGCCCAAATAGAAAAAGCAGAAGTTTTTCCAAACAGTTCAGAGGACGCCGTGCCCGCGACAGAAATTAAGCAGCTCCTACACAAACGATAATGCTGGTGACTCATATGGATAGCAGGCGTGCCAACATAAGTTGGAGGTTCTTGGTTCAAGCATGACTTTGGCATACTTTTCATTGAGCGGTTCGTACTCAGGAGGTGGCAACAGCTGAGGAGTGACTGCCCTGCAGCGGGATGAATGCCGTGCCAAACAGCGCCGCTACGGTGGATGCACGGGTATCGTTCGTCTTTCTATAGGTTTTTCGGTTTGGTAATGCAGCCGGAGAGCACGGCCGAGCTCTGGGCCATCGGGGTAGTCTTCTGGCCGCTGGGCCTGAGATATCCAGTAGGCTAGCTGAATGCAAACGTGCCAAGATGGGCATTCTGACAACGAGCTTGTGGTCAAGATTGCCCAGATAAAACAACTGCCGTGTGTAGTGTACAGTGTGCGCATGTGTGCATGTGTCCATGCAACTAACCAAAAGATGTTCCGGGATGCGTTACCAAGCTATTGTAAACCCCGCACAAGGCATAAAGCCGTAGCTAGCTAGCGAAAATCCCGTGCATGTCACAAGTATGTATGATCTTACTTTCCATTTCACACACCCCTGCGCTGTACAGTTTCTGACGACCAAACCGCTGCCGAAGCCCGAAATAGATCGCTAGGTCAACAAACACCGGCGCGGGTGCAAATGCACGCATGTCAAGCCTAATGGTGCAGCCATCATGGCTGGCTCTGGCATGGGCTTCCGGCGCAGTGAGTGTGTGTTTATCTAACGCAGGGAGTGAATATAGGACTGGCAGGAAAACGGAACGCATCGATTGGTATGGCACCCTGGTGGCTACAAACGTCGCGTCTTCTGCGAGCGTCGCCGTGTGTTCTACATATTTGTATGACGTTGTCATCACTTCACATGCCGGCGACGTAGCCCCGTTACTGCAGTAGTAGCTCAAGGCCCACACATCGAGTCGCAGGCGCCACCACCCGAACCACGACACCATTACCATTCGCAAGACCCGGACCTCGGTCTCGAACCACGGGCGCGAGACCTGTACCCGAGTCTCAGACCAGTCCACGGAACTGTGACCTGGGACTCTGACCTGGGCGGCGGCAGCCTGACTCCGGTCCCTGGTCCGGTCCCAGAAGTCCGCATCCAGACCGGTCCTCGCGCCCTGGAGGCTTGGTGGGCGCAAATGCTGCACCGTTCTCGCCGCGCCTCGCGATGTTTGTTTGAGCTCCGTCGTAGGTTTCAACAGTGAATCCAGTCAGTTGGCCCCCAGGCCATCGCCAGAGTAACGCGTATGTAAGCGATCCGCCCGCCCAGGTTTCGGGGGAGCGGTGGCGAGCAATGACACGCCTGAGTAGAATAATCTGCTGATAATGGTTCAGCGACAAATGATGATGCCTGAAACATGCGGCAAAACACCTGTAAAGCAGGTCAAATGTTACCAAAAATATCCGAAGCCTGTTAAGTGATGCTTTGGGATGCGTTTCTGCGACACCACACTCTATAGCATGGATTCATTTAGAGGTGGCAGGCTGCGTGCCTGTGTGAAGGTCGAAGTTGAAGATTTTGATACTATTCCAATGTCAATGCAAGAAAAAATAACCTCGAGAAGTTGAAAATTATCTCTGAAGGTAACAACGGTTTTTGTGAGAGTCACTTCTGGAAGTATTTCCACTGGCTATACTTTCCAAGTGTTGCAAGCCGTGGTAAGTAACACGAAGCAAAAATTGTTATAACATAAGCCCACAAAGCGGGACAGAAGTAAGTCAAGAAAAACACCACATTTCAGCAAAAGTGTTTGCCAGCGGTGGCTCGTGTGCGTGGAATCGGGTCTTTGCTTCCTGTTTGGGCCCTTCGTGAAGACCCCGCGAGGAGAGTAAAATGGTCGAGCCGCTCAAGCTTGAAAAGTCCCAAAAACATGTTGAACCCACGTTTGTTGAGCACCACAAAATCATGAGAAAGCCAAACAAAACGTCTTCTGACATGTGTGATCTGAATAATTTAATAATTTTATAGTTCATATTTTAATTGCTTATCTATTAAAACTTGTAGGGTTTCGATTTTACCGTAGCCCTCCTCAGCTTAACAAAATCCTGGACCCTACAATGGGGTTTGGACCATATGGAGACCCTCAAGCCGTGGTTTCCATGGCGACAGACGTTGCAGGCTGCAGGAATCACCGCGGCGGAATTTCATCGGAGCCGTGGGCGTTGTCACGGCGCCAAGTCGCCTACGCCCGGCATCCCCGGTCACGATAAACTGACCCCGGCCTGCCAACTTTCCCTGCAGTGTTGGCTGAATGGAAGCTTTTTGTATTGCCGTCTGTCACGCTACCCTGGTGCATGCTTTTTTTGTGAGATTAATATGCATAACGCAACGGAGGCCGTTTTGGCAGCTGGTAGGCCAGGCAACGTCGCGCTAGTATGCGTGCACGTCTTCCTTTGGGCTTGTTTGAGCCTAAACTTGACAACCAGAACGATGTCATGCGCGTACACTGGTCCATTAGGATTGTTTCTAGATTCATGACAAGATAATTGACATGCAACGAACACAAAAAGCTAAGGTTTTGCGTTGATTGAGCCCTCATTTTATATGTATATTTCAGTTTACAATATCCAAATCATACTTAAAATCTAACCAAAATTTAGCACCATAGATAAATAACAACCAAGCTGCTCTTGTTGTGGCAAGAAGAAAAAGCGGCGCTTGTCATATATTCGAAGTGAGCGGAATTTTCCGGTTGTCTGTCTCCCTAAACGCATTTTTATGCCACGAAACTGTGCGATTTGCCGCACAATGTGGCATTCTATGCATTTGCCTGTTGCGCTAATCTTAGAACAGAAGTCCGATAATTCTGTCGTTGTTGCTCGACGGATATTGATCGCTCCCTGGTTCCGAATTTCCGCATGGACCTCCAGCAAGGTGAAATTGGCAACTGTGTGTGGCGTGGCGGTGCAGTCTATACCTCAGGCGTGTCCCTTCAGCTCCTGCGTGCTGCCCCGCAAAACACGGTCTGGTTGGTGCCACTGCTTATAATGGTGTAAAACACGCCTTGAATTTGGGTATGTTTGTGCGCTTTGTGTGGTTAGGTTACTCGCCGAACAGCTGAAGTGTCTCCCACACTACGGAAAGCAAACAGAAATGTGTGACTTTGTTCAGGAACCCGCTTACTGTAGTGCCAACAGGGCGCTTCGTGAAGTCGCCTTTCTTAAAGGGAATGTTCCGAAGTTGAGGATGTTGAAGCAAGCATTAGATATGATGAAACAAGCTCACTTATAACTGTTGGTATGTTTTTGTAGTGGAAAAGCTGCTCCAGATAGCACATTTATCTATTTAGTAAACATATTCTCAACGCGTCATGACTTGATTACCCCATCGTACCTTGCAGAATATTAGTACAGAGTCAGTCGACGGCTGTTTTATCTGGAAATCATGCTCACGAGCGCCAGATATGAAGGCGTCGACAATTACATTTGTATTTGCCTTAATCACGCATGGTTTATGAGCTGACAGGATGCAAATGATGTTCTTTTGACGCCATGAATGCCAAGTTGACTCTGAAACACTTTCTGGATAAACCTTCCCCATTTTCGCCGGCGTGTAGCTCAGGAACTAGTGAGGCTTAGGTCTTAAAAAGGGCAGAATTGTGAACAAAAGGTCTTCAAGATGACTAGTTTAGTTCAAAACCCAATAGTATGTATATGGAACACTCCCTTTTCAGTTTTTCGTTATTCAACCTACCATAGAGAAAACATCCATCCTATTTGCATTGATTTTTCTTAAAAAGGGATTAATTTTAACAGCTTCCTGCTTTAAATGACCATTCATGTTTTCCAGTGGTTTGAAGAGAACTGCGCGCGTATGGTACAAGAGCTCTTGTTGTTTCCGGAAACTTATTATGTTAGGTCTAAAAATATATGATACTGACAAAATTGATTAAATATTCTTTGAATAGCAACGTTTCCAACACAGCTGTTACACTATTTATATTTTGAACATCTGACGTCATACACCTTAGGAAAAATGATTATTTTGCTGGGAATAAAAGAAAGATTTCCGAATATTTTGAATTCTGACTCAGTACCGATATCAATGATGGAAAATGGGTTACAAATTGGTCTTGATAGATATTTGAAAACACCATTGCATTAAAACACAACAATTTCTCACAGGTGACTGTTGCTTCATTTCTTTTAGGTCATTCTCACTTCTCTTCCCTTTACCACGCACTGTTCCTCATAATTTCATGCGAGGTCATATCTAGTTTAATCATACCATCGCTGCAGCCTTCTATCTGAAAGTCGCCGTGTCTTTTTAGATTATTTTTACAGCTGTATTCATAAATCATCCAGGAGTCCCGAATCATTCATTGAGTTCGGATCAGCTGTTGTCCCTGGCAAACGCTTACGGCTTGTGCGGCTCCTTTTTAGGTGCGGCCGACCCGGTTGGCGTCTGACGCTGCCAGACGCCGTTCTCCGTCCTCAGACCGGCCGGGAGAAGGTGGGTGGGCTGATGTGGGACCGCGCTCACCGTTCAGTGTGGCACCGTTCACGTCAGTTCTGTGTTCAAAGGCTTCCCGTCACTTCGCCTGTCGTCGCTGCCACCTGTGTGCAGTTTTTGCAAGTCACGGAAGTTCTTAGCAGGCCCGGTTCTAATGCACATGATTAGATTCTGCAGCTTGCAGAAAACAGACATTAGCTATGAACATACTTAATCCAAAAGTACATTTCAAAGCAGTTAATTGCTTTTTTATCTAGACAAAGCAGAGATGGGTGGAGACAGCCTTGGCAACATCATGTTCAGCTTCGTTCAAGTGCTATCGGTTCTTGCTGACGATATTTTTAGAAGGCGATGCCATGCTGCAGCATGCCAGCAGCCAGCAGCGCCTATCAGTTCCGGCACGGGTCTTTTATCTGTTGAAAAGCCGCCAAGAGAGCCGCCACTGCAGCTGTTGCTTACCCGTGTACCGCCAGGAAATTCTACAGGTGGTTGAAGATTCACTTTGCCTGAAAACGAGATACTGGCTTGACTTCTTTTAGTTCACAACTTAACCTTGGACGCAGCCTCATCGTGTGCCATGTTTTGGCGGCGATGTCGTGTTTCATAGTCCATCCCTGTGAGCGCGTACCTGCATTTTGACTGTTTGAAAGGCCCTTAGATTACGGGCTTAAAGATGCAGAGATTTTAGGGCAACTTTCCATGCTCACTTTTGTAATTTGATTTGCTCCGATGTGAAAGTCACCCACCTACAGAGTGCATTTATTTCAGTAGAGCCAGTTTGCGTGCCCACAGGAAGCCTCCCTACAGGCTGATACACACCTTTTTCAGGTCAAGGGCACCTTTATCAGCAAGCAGAGGATCTGAATGGGCATTTAGGGGCCAGTGCTAGTCCCTAGGAAGCCTCCATCCCCAATCACGACCCCCCCCCCTCATCTTGCTTGTTTGCAGATGGCCCCCTACCAGATCATAAAAGGACCTGATGGAATCTGTTCGCGGTCCTGTTACACTCCAATGATGTCTCTTTGCAAGTCAACAGTCTCTCCCAGCCGAAATGGTGTTTTTGAAGTGGCCCCTGCTCGTCGATAAAGAAGGAGCTTCTTTGACGGACTTGTGCCTGGCTCACTTAACGCAACTCTTCCAGGTTGGATGCGGGATTTTACAGACAAGCAGAGATCCTCTGAACGGTACTTCAGAGGCATTTGCTAGCTTACTGGGCGCTCAGTGCTTGATTGGAGATCCCATACCTGGCCATAACTGGCCTTTGCCGGCCTCTGGAAGGCCCTCCCGCCGGTATGTAAAAGAACCCCTTCCTGGAGGTAGAGATATGCCCAGATGGCTTGTAAAGCAGCCTGCAATAGGCCGGTAGGAGTGACTCCACAGGAAAGCGGGGCCTCTCTACACTCCAGCGGGAGTCCTGCACAGGCCGGCGGAGAGTCCCTCCAGTATTCAGCAGGGCCTTTTTACGAGTCGTAAGGAGGCCCTTCCGAAGACTTCTAAGTACTCTTTTAAGGAAATCCCGACTGTGGTTGTGAGGCAACGCAAGATACCTCTTTAAAAAGTGCGGAACATTTCGTAAACTGTTAAGTGGGTTTGCAAGGAGCGTTATGCACATAGATGAGACAGTATTAAGCTGTCTCATGTAATAAATTCATATAAGCTCTATTTCTCGCAGAATAAACAGGGGAATGGAGTGATAGGTGTGATAGTTCGGCTACGTGCATTTATTGAAAACATATCGGTAGCAGATTTAAGATTGCCTGCCGATCCTACTCACTTTTCCGAGTTTTTTTTTCAAAAACAGCGGGCCACAGTTTTTACAAGTCACCAACATTCAGAGGAGAAATTGCCAGCTATGTTTAAGATGCAGTGCACTTTTGACAAGGAATTAAAATGCACAAAAAATACGTTTATATTTAAGTTAACAGGCATCACGAACAACACATCATACAAGCAAGGGATTATCAGTAACCAATTTCAAGTAAACAGGCATTACATATCACGCTTCACTTAAACATGCAGACGATTTCCATCGGACAGACATCGCGCATCACGCGTCAGGCAGCAATCGTACGTGGAAACAATTTTAAGCTAGCACGCATCACAAATCAAGACACTAACCAGATTGGCAAAATCAGTCATGATGAGCCATGTACGTTGAGGTCTGGTCGCCGACTCCTTTTATGAAGAGATTCACTTATTTTCATGTCTGGATGATCTTGTGCTGTGTAGATGACTTTGGGCCCTAAAAGAGTTAAAGGGTCCGTACCTCTCTGGGTTTCGGTCTGAGCGTGTTTTGTCAAAATATGGTCTGCGAAAGGGGCGTTCTCTGCTTTGTTTTCAGCATCTCTCATGTGTTCATTATACTTCAAACGGATAGGGCGGATAGACTCCCCGACATAGACTACGTCCTTCCATGTTTTACACACTTCATTTCGTAAAGCTTAATTAAAGCATAATTAATCGTAACGCTTAATTAATCGTAAAGCCACACACTTAATTTCGTAAAGCACGTTCTTTGCGTGCAAACCGCTTGAAACCAAGACTTGTACAAATGACACTTATTGCCCACGGGCACTTATGCTTCGAGATCGACAATTTCACCGGAGAGCTTTTTGATTTCTGTCGTTCTTTCAAGTCTCGCGTATGCGCAGTTTTCATTTTCTAACGATGTGTTCGATTTTCCAAGGCAAAAACTCGTCCATGCAAGGTAATGTTAAGAATCTGTCGCCCGGCAGGGCGTGTTCCCGTTTCCTTTCACCCATCTCCCACGTGCTCTAGATTTTTAAACTCTTCCAACATTTTATTCAAAAGTGGCGGAGAATATCTACCGCCCAGCAGCGAAGTCCATGTTTCGTTTATGCTCTTTTTCCCTACTTGATGAATTGTTTAGACCCCTAAGAAGCATGCTACGAATTACGTTATGCTTAGTGAAAGTTGGGAGCGCAGATTTACAATGCAGAATTACTTCAGAATTGGTGAGCTTGTTAAAAAGCTCCGTTTCTAACGTTGTACGGTTGTTCCTCCTTTCTACCGCCACTAGTGTATCCGCATATGGGACTCTTTTTCCTTTTCCTGTATGCTCCACTGTGAAGGTTAAATTGGGAAGCTGGTTGTTCTCGAACTCTAAATATTTTACAAGGGTACGCTGTCCGTGCGTACATACTCCAGCATAATCATCAAAGTACCAACTAAGTAAATTGGTGTTAATGGGCTGGCGGCTAGGGCCTTCGTTTTCAATTGGTATAAAATATAATTTCCAGGGGAGGAGTGCATGGGGTCCCCCACTGCTATGCGCTATTTCTGTCGATAGTTCTCGTTTCCGAACGATAAAATTATCCCGGATACATTGACTTAAAAGACCGCAGCTATTATTTTTTGGTAAACAGAAAGCATTAATTTCATGTAAATGTTCGCCTGTCTCAGCTTTGACAGGAGCGATAGCTTTCTTGGCTGGTGCATTGCCATATGACTAGACAACATATGCACTGAAAAGATGCTGCCATCTGGTGTCCGTTATGCCTGTCAATGATTGAAAGCCCTTTTTAAAAAGCCTCTAGCGTCCCACAGGTAAGTGGGAACAAACCTCTAGAGTTGGCTAATTACTTTCTCTAAAAGACACGATTTTTTTCTGTATGACCACCCCACGCAGGTATTACGGGTCTATGGTCACTGCAGGCATATCCTCAGGTGACCCATAGAACACAGGCCTTTTCCTGTGTTTGGGTGTTAGATTTTGATAGTTCTGTCCGAAATTTGTCCACAAATGGTGCTGCTCAATGTTCTTTTTTATTCAGCCTCTTCCTGAGGGATTGAATTCCTATTCAGTTTTTTTCTAACTTTCTCCGTCGTTCAGCATAACCTGGGCCTTGTTTACATAATCAACCTGGCTTTTAACACTGTCTCATTCATATGCGAAAACTTTCCTTTCAAATCATTGCAGTTGCGTTCTGTTTCTGCGAGAAATGTCATTGTCATAGCTTGTTAAGCAAGCGTTGAATTTTTTTCGTCGAAAACAGTTGTTGCTAGAAAATGGTGGGCATTCTCAGCAATCCACCATTTTAGCGTAAAAAATGCAGTAAATGTGAACGATGAAGTACAATCTGTGAAACCATTTAGCTGCTCACCATTCCATCACTAAAATCACTTCAGCTTAAGCTCAGAGGGGACTCTACGGCTGGCAATGTATCGCTCGAGTCACTTTAGTGTCGTTTCAATCGCCTTCCACAAGACCTTGTGGTTTGTATCCGAGCTACAACTCTTGAGATATTCTTGGTTTGCTTTGGACTGGTTTAGAGAGTGTAAATCCCCATGCCGGTGTCTTGCACCATCCAAAATAGCACAACTGGTCAGGGTGATCAAGTTCAGCATTATCAGGTGCATAGTTTGCATTCAAGAATCCAATCTAGGCATGTGCCATGTCCTAGCTAGGTAAGAATTACCAGGTAAGAATAAAGATAAAGCTCCAGGAACACCAAAGACAACGTTGGCCTAAAACTATGTAATCGGCAGATGGTGCTGGTCATTTCGCTTGCGCTTCGAAATTTTATAGAAGCGGGCAGGACGACAGGCAGGTAGATAGGAAAACAGAAGGAAGAGTGAGAGGGCGAGAGAGAGGAAAAAAGGGTAGGGAAACAAGTAGAGAGAAAAGAAGAGAAATAGAAAACGAGAGAGACAAAGAAAGAGAGAGAGAGTAAGAAAGAGAGAAAAAGGGAGAGAGGAAGAGAGAGACGGAGAAAGAGAGGGAGAGAGAGGAAGAGAGAGAGACAGAAAGAGGGAGAGAGGGAGGGAGAGAGAGAGGAAGAGAGAGAGAGAGAGAAAAGGGAGATAGAAGAGAAAGAGAAAGAGAGAGAAAAGAGAGAGAGAGAGAGAGAGGAGAGAGATGAGAGAAGAGAGAGAAGAGAGAGAAGAAAAGAGAGAGAGAGAGAGAGAGAGAGACATATAGAGAGAGAGAGAGAGAGAGAGAAGAGATAGAGAGAGAGAGAAGAGAGAGAGAGAGAGAGAGAGAGAGAGAGAGAGAGAGAGAGAGAGAGAGAGAGAGAAGAGAGAGAGAGAGAGAGTATAGAAGAGAGAGAGAAGAGAGAGAAGAGAGAGAGAGAGAGAGAGGAGATAGAAGAGAGAGAGAGAGAGAGAAGAGGAGGAGAGAGGAGAGAGAGAGAGGAGAGAGAGAGAGAGAGAGAGGAGAAGAGAGAAGAAGAGAGAGAGGAGAAAGAGAGAGGAGAGAGAGAGAGGAGAGAGAGGTTGGACCATAGCCACAAAGTATCCTGTCCTAAAAGGAGGAGGAAAATGGAGGACAGGAGTAGAAAAGAGGAGAAGAGTGAGCAAATGCACGAGTTTGGCGAGTGGGTGAATAAGTTGATGGGCGAGCATGCAACAAGATGAGGCGGAGAGTTAAACCAAACGGATCTTGCGTCACAAAATAATGTCCTCCTCCTCGGCAGGAGGCGGAAATGCGAGCTGCACGGAAGGCAGGCTGCGTGGGACGCCTGCAGGCATGGCTGCCTCACTCCTCAGCCCCTCCCCATCAGTCACGACCGTCAGCGGACGCTTGGAGCTCAGGTGTGTCTGTGTTGGCCGGTACCGAGATATAGATACGCATGGAAGGTACAACATAGTACACATACACGTATAGATGTGTATATATGTATATGTATATATATATATATATATATATATATATATATATATATATATATGTGTATATACATACACACACACACATGTGTGTGTGTGTGTGTGTGTGTGTGTGTGTGTGTGTGTGTGTGTGTGTGTGTGTGTGTGTGTGTGTGTGTGTGTGTGTGTGTGTGTGTGTGTGTGGTGTGTGTGTGTGTGTGTGTGTGTGTGTGTGTGTGTGTGTGTGTGTGTGTGTGTGTGTGTGTGTGTGTGTGTGTGTGTGATGCAAGCGTAAATAACATCCAGGCCACTTAAGAGGCACACAATGCAAGCGCAGTAATCCTCAGTTTTTAAGATAGGAAAACGCAATAATCTCAAATGCACAATTTACGTTTATTTTCAGCGCAAGGTCTAGCGCTAGTATGCATAATAGGGCAAAAGAGATGCTTCGTCGTTCCAAACACGAGCTCGGTTAAGTGGATAATATGACTGACTCTTCCCTGAGGTTTTTCCAGAATAGCCTCTGGAAGGAATGGCGCAGCAGCTTTAATGCCTGCATAGATGTAGATGCTTGAATATTCCATCTTTTGGTATAAAATGGTAAAGAAACTTCTAAACACGCACTTGAGTAGGGATTAATTGCCCCCCCCCCCCCCCCCGCCATCCTCACGAGGGTGGTGCCAGAATGATTTCCGAACGGCGCGGCGCAACCACGCCAAATTTAGTAGATCCGCAAGCAATTGAAACTGGATTTTTTGGCGTCAAATATTTAGGTAACCCTCGCATGGTCACTTACCTACGTGCAGGCAAAAGTCAGGTAATAGATTCAGCGAAGGCAATTTATAGGGAATCATTCAATCTATTGCAACAACAGAGTGTTAGACAAATCCGTACATCTCTGAGATAGTTTCTTGAGCAACGCAACAACTGGAATAACAAATTTTGTTGACCTAGGGCCAGGTATAAAGGTTATGCTAAGGTCGAACACAAGCGGTTTCTTACTCGAGAGTTTGCTGTATGGGCTAGATTCTGGGGCTTATATTTTACTAACAACAGGGACCGCAACATACATCTTCCGTGGACTTCTTAAATGTTAGGAATAGGCCACTAAGCTAAAATGACCAGGTCAGCATTTTGTTTTTAGGTGCATACCGCCTAGAGTAATTCTTGACGTTTGTTCAAGTGCAAAAATGAAAGCAGTCTTCTACTATTTTGGCTACCATGACCTTCTCCGGGTGAAACAACGTCACTGACCTTAAATGAGCACAAGTAACCTTTTAATAAGAACAGGTTCACAGCAATTGCATGAAAAGATCTAAGGGCACTTTGGACACCGATCTGGAGTTTGACATTGTTTGACCTTACTTGACCTGAAGTAAAGTCAAATGTCAAATGTCGCACAAAGTGAGTTCACATGCAGATTAATATACCCTGTGAGTTTGGTACCTCTAGCTCTCTTAATTTTTAAGGTCCAAAGATCTTAAATTGACCCTCCGCCACCCGAGCGAAATTTATTCAGCAGGTCAACCGGGCTCGTGTTAAGGTCACTGACCTATGTGAGCAAATTCAAGCCGTGGTTATCAGCGAGGGCAATTCTTAGACAATCTTTCATATTGATGCAACAGCTAGGTGCTACAAGACATTATGCAACTTTGAGATGGTTTCTCAGACAATAAAACAATTGAACTGGGGTTTTCGACTGCCACCATTAACATTATCAACTATTTAGATCAGATCAAGGTCGGAGCAAAGCAGTTCTTAGCGAGAACTTGTTTTACGGGTAAGGCTTTGACGGTCACATCAAAGTATTTGGCCACAAGCACGGTAAAATGCATCTTATTTGTCCTCATAAAGATCGAGGTGGTTAGTGAACTTAACTGGCGCTGATCAACACTTTGGTTTGAGAAACATGCCACTAAGAGTCGATTTTGACGCTGATTTCAAATTCAAATACCACCATAATCGCAAAGAACTTGGGTTATTAGGACCTGCTAGAGGCCTGATAAGTTTACTGACATGATTTGACCTCTAGCTGCATTTTACTTAAAAAGAGTATATAGGCTTAGGCTGGTTTTGTGATAAGGTCCGACGGCACTTCTGACAACGATCTAGAGTTTGACCTTCTTTGACCATATTTAACATAAAGGTCAAGACTTGAAGCTTGGCATAAGTGAGTTCACATAGAGCTCTACCTACCCTGTGAATTAGCTCACTTTTTTGCATAAAAGCGGACGAAGTGAACCCCACCCGGGTGTGTAATATTGAGCCGGCCGCCTGAACGCGTGTTAAAATTACTTTCGTTGGCCAGGTTGCTGGGGTGCAAGGATTTGATGGAGGAACTTCCGGGCTGCCTGGGCCAGGACGCGAGTGAACTACCCACGTCCGGAGATCGCGCTGAAGGACGCTGCGAGTGGAGAGAACCACCGGACAGGATACAACTTTGTACGTGCTAGCTCGACTTCGTTGAATAAGCAGCAAATCTGTTCTTATACATTCTTGGTAGCCTTGCATCACAAGTGAGCTCACTTTTCATATGATTCCAGGACTTAAAAAACGAAGTGAACACACCATTGAAAATTGCACTTTGATAATACATAACACCAACCAGGCTCAAACGCAAGCATTTGATAAGAGCCCAGGGTGCTGGCTCGCGGTATAGGACCGTGGCTCTCCATGACATGCATGTACCTTATCCTCTGGGGCCGTTTCAACACCCGCAGGTGATGTGATGGCTGTGGTGAAGCTAGACGGCATCAACGTCGGCCAGACCAGCTGGAGACCTTGCTCCCCGCACTCGTGGGACCACGAGTTCGGCATAGATCTGGATCATTCCGTGATGCTGGAGGCGAGTACTAGGCCGGACTGGGTCATAAAATCCGCATGTTAAATCCATTCTCGTGACGCGGAATGTAGTGCTCAGCCAAATTTTAAACATCTTCTCAGTTCGATACGGCCTTAGATTTATATTTCTCGCAAAAACGCACTAGATTTTTATCCAAATAAAGATTTATCGGCGAATCTACACCGAACGTGTTTTAAGGCACTGGGCTTCTCAATCCTGAAAACAGGATTCAATCTGTGATTGCAAAGATATCTGTGTATGCGTATGTAAATATATTATATTCCAAGGAGCGTGACAATTGGGCCGGGAAGACCCGAAGCCCATGCCAACTGGGTTTGTATTGTATTCTAGGTATTTAATCGGCTGGCAGCCTCGCACATGATTAAAGATATAGTGTTTATACAGGCTCTTATTCAACTTTGCTTAAAACGTACCAAAAGTTTCTAGATAAAAGCCAACATTTCGGGGACCATGAAACAACTGAAATGTCGGCAACGTGTATTATACAGCATGTATGATGAATGGCTCATTACTGCAAGATTGCCTCCTGTAAATGACATCCCATGATCTCCTCCCTTTGGGCTAAAGACCAAGCTTTGCGAAATTATTGCGGCGTAAACGAAAACGTCTGGCTTAAACTGGTAAGACGGCATGGGTGAATTACAACAGCGCACCATAGTTTTATTCGTAAATTGTCAAGTGTATTTGCGAGAGCCATAATGCATATAGATGAGCCAGTAGAATTAGCCATATTTCTCAGAGAAAAACCAGAAGAATTAAGAGGTAGATCCGTTGACATTTTGGCAACATGTCTTTGTTGAGACGAAAACATGCCATGCCAAAATGAAAAGGGACGTGCCTTTCGTTTTGATGAAGACATGTTGCCGAAATTTTAACGCATTTATCCCTTCATCCTCCTGGCCTTTTATGAGAGATGAGGCTATTATTACTGCCTTATCTATAGCTTTATTTACATTCTATACACAATCATTTTTCGTGGCCTCAATCTTTCTGACGTGCAAGTAACCAAAGAACAAGGAGCGATTATTTTAGGAGCAACAGGTTATAGAGTCTCCTGCCTTGCTAAAGCCCAACACAGCAAATTGTGTTCCAAAAATAGACATTTCTGAGAAGATCTACCATGTCTTGGTCTGAGTTCTTCCCATCTGAACTGTGCAAACCCATTGTGTAAAGTACAGTAAACACACTGGATGCAGTGAGCGTGAAGCTATTGAGTGATCGTGAGGTTGTCATTGAGTGATTGTGAGGTTATCATTGAGTGATCGTGAGGTTGTCATTGAGTGATCGTGAGGCTGTCATTGAGTGGCCGTGAGGTTGTCATTGAGTGGTTGTGAGGTTGCCATTGAGTGGTCGTGAGTTTCTCATTGTGTGGTCGTGGGTTTGTCATTAAATGATCGTAAGGTTATTATGGAGTGGTCGTAAAACTGTCATTGCGCGTTTGACCAATCTCCAGGTGAGTATATACTGGCGAGATTGGCGAGCACTGTGTGCGGTGGGCCTTTTGCCGCTCGAAGATCTGATCAGAGAACAGCAGGAGGAGACAACGCTGCATCTGAAACCCAGAGGACTTCTTTTTGCTAAGGTTGGGGCCGCCTGCCTCTCACAGTTTTCGATTGTCTTTCACTGCTCTAATACTATGTAACCTGCTTAACTAGACAATGCTAGCAAATTAGATAGACAAATTAACTAGACAATAACTAGACAAACTAGACAATGCTAGCGATGCTAGCAAACTAGATGTGTATAATCTAAGACAAGCCTTCTCGCGGATTTTGCCCATAATTGGAGACATTTGTGCGTTTGGATGGGCTGTTTTACGGAAATAGAAGTATGTCTGCATGCACATATATTTTCCAACCAACATACCGCACTGATAGCCAGCACAATACCTGAACATAGTGCGAAGGCTCCATCGTCCAGCCGCTGCCTTACCAAAGCCTGGAGAGTAGTTGTCACTTCTGACCCACCCTCAGGTGGAGTTACGCTCTTACGGCACATTCGTCCTCGGATGAAGCTCCGTTCCCCACTCTCGGCTCGTCCCCACATGAAGCTCCACTCCCCCACTCTCGCCTCGTCCTCGGATCAGCCTCCGTTCTCTCACTCTCCGCTCGTCCCCAGTTGAAGCTCCATTCCTTCACTCTCGGCTCGTGCTAAGATGAAGCACTATTGCTCCACTTTCGCCTTGTCCTCAGATCAAGCTCCATTCCCTTATTCTCGTCTCGTCCCCAGATGAAGCTCCTCAGTCCGGTCGTCAGCCGGCCAAGCCAGCTGCAGCGTCAGCGCAGGATATTCAGGCGCCGCGACAGAGTGGTGCTGGACCCGAATAGGATGAACATCACACTAGCCACCTGGGCACGCCCGTTCCGTCCGCGTCCCCCTACCGCTGACAGCGAGGACAGCGGGTCTGCCGCGCCGCGTGAGGACGCACCGGCACCCAGAGGTAAGGTCCTCCGGCCGCCAGGAGCTCTGCGCACCGGCAGATGGTTGGCGGATACGAATGGCCCCGGATTGTGTTTACTTGTTCCCCTTGTTCCCCACTTGGCCGCTTCTTCGGCGTTGTTACTTGTTGTGGCACCGTTGCTGCAGATATAAGTGCGTTCACTGCATCAGATCACATCTGCATTCCTTCAGTGACTTCCTTTAAGCTCTTTAAGTGCCCGAAAGTTATTATTTATTGACAATTCAGACGAATCGGGAGCATAAGTCTCAGGCTATTATGTATTGACATCAAAAACAGTTATCGATAGGCCAATTCGTTCGAACATCATCACTCCTAAGGCTCTTCCTGCAACACAAAACATCGAAATAAAGCCTTGAGTCAGCGGTCATGCGGTGTGTCCACTGGTCCTACCAGCACAGCAGTTTTGAATTGATTCAGCGCGCTGATTTGTCATTTTCTGCCAGGAACCATCTGTGGTGCCTAAACAAAACACGAGCCCCCCCCCCCCCCCTTTCTCCCCTTGGCTGTGGCCATGACTCAGCATCTTTTGTGTCTCCTTATCTGCACTTCGATGCCTGTATCTCTGCTGCCAGACGTGCACCATTTGCGACCTCTTGCCGGCCTGCCGCCGGATGTACGCGAGCCAAGCGACCGCTCTGAGCGGGGCGAACTATCAACGGGGAGCGAGGCAGCCAGGAGCCCCTCACCATGTAGCGGAATCGACAGGCGAGAGCGAGCGTGGGGGGTTCATGCTGCCACGCAAGTGAATCATGTTTGGGGAATGTGGTGCTGCAAAACTGCTAGAAAGAGTTGGTAGAGGGAAAATGACAGTTCATATTAATGTTGATAGAACGGACGTGGCCGCCAACACACGATCCTGCCTTTCTGCATTTTGCACTAACGCCGCCCTTGATGCGAACTCCTGCAGTTAGTCATGCTCTTGACAGCAATCAAGTTCATGGGCGAAAGCGAACCGGGAGGAGAGAAACGAAACGAAACGAACCGCTGCCTCTGCCGGCCCTCGGGTACTGGGTGATCGCCGACGTCCGCGCGGGGGTGCCGACTGCTCAGGCGCTCTGCGCCTGTCCTCGCAGAGGCGGGAGTGACCGAGGCGCCGCTGCCGAGATGTCCGGGAGCGGACCAGCGCCGACAGCCCGGGCCGGGCAGGTGACGGAGAGGTCCGAGACCACGTCAGCGGCGGCGGTCCGCATCCGTCAGGTGACGGAGGGGTCCGACGCTACCGAGAGGTTGACGCCGCCGCCGTCCTGGTCGGACGACTGCAGGCAGAGTCAGCCGCTGGTGGACGAGCCAGATGACGACGAGGTGGGTAGGCTGGTCAGGGCTGTTGGCTCAGCGTAAGAGCAGCGTTACCGTCCACACACATAGTCTTCTTCCGAGAGGTCAGATTTCTAGAAATCTTGCTATCAAATATTACTCGGCTCTGATCCGACATCTTAAATCGTTGCCATTTTCTTGCCATGTTGCCGTTACCGTTGCCATGTAAATCAAAGTTGGTGCGGCCTCGGCCAGTGGTATTGTGTTATGACATCCTTCCCACATTTTGCCTACGTCACGTTGGCATCCCAATGTGCAGGCGTTCTGGGCATTATTTTGGCTCAAATAGGGAACGTCACCACCTGACTCGGACCGCTGAACCACCTACAGGGGTCCACGTCGGGATCTCGGCCTTCAGACTGGAGCGCCGGCCAGCCCCGGAGGATGCCGGGCAGCCCCCTGCACAGTATCCCACCTCCCGACCTGACGCTTGACAACTTCAGAACGGTGGCCGTTCTGGGTCGGGGTCACTTCGGCAAGGTGAGGCGTCCCCCGACGGTGACGACGGCCTGTGGGGAGCGTCGATCCCGTGTGATTCATGTCTGCGCCCTATGGTAGGTGCCTGGAACTAGAATCGATATCTAACCCCACACGATTGCGATATTGTTTTATTTGGCCACTGCCAAAACTTTTTTAATTGGTGTTTCCCTTGGAAGTCTAGCGTGGGTGGTATTGGGATATAAGTATAAGAATGTCATCCAATAGAATGGGAACCACGCGTTATTGATGTCTCTACAGTACGTTGGCATATTTGTTATTGGTTGTGTTTGAGACGACAAGTGTCTCTCACTGGTTGCGAGTCCGATATACAGCCTTTTGAAGGCCTGAGCTGGGCCAGCGTCCGGCTGCGAGTCTCTGCGCCTAAACCGCGTCCGCCTGCGTGGAGCAGGTGGTCCTCGCCCAGTACCGCACCACGGGCGAGTACTACGCCATTAAGACGCTGAAGAAGACGGACGTCCTGCAGCGAGACGAGGTGGACGCCCTGCTGGCTGAGAAGCGGATCTTAGAGCTGGCCACCACAGTCCGGCACCCGTTCCTGGTCAACCTGTTCGGCTGTCTGCAGACGCCGGTAAGTTGAGAGCCCTGCGCCAGCGGAGCCGGGCTCTGAGGAGAGCGATGACCTGCCGCGTACGTTGTTGTCTGGCTCGCTGCCGACCCGTGCCGCGGCGAGACTTGGCACAGTCTGCTTGGCCGTCTGTAATCGACGTTCAAGGCCGACGCCTCCGCTGCTGCAGTCGACCACCGAAGCAGCCACTTGTTCCGAGGCCGGGGCCTCCCGGGCCGACCCGCCGTACATGGCTGTATTGCGGGACAGTTTCCGCTCGGAAACTGACTTCCACTACGCCGACACGAAACGGGCGCGGCGCCGGCGTGAAAGGCCAGCCGTGCTGTCTCTGATCTCTGGGCAAAACTGGCGGAATAGGCAAATGACGCATATGTCATGAGCTTACGCTCATCGCAAATGCCCAAGGAAAGCTGTCCCCCCTGTAGCTCCGTCGAACTACCGAACTGCGTAACTTTACGCAGTTACATTTCGACGTTATACAGCTATGCAAGAGTTGGGCCATTGCAATTAGGCCCGATCACGTACTTCACAAAAGTTTAAAGAGATCAAGCAGTTGTACTGCCAGGACTCTGCAATCAGGTGCTTTCACCATATTGGCCCGTGTTCAGTGTTCGTTAGTAAGATTTCACGCGTCGGTAGCCCTGTGTTATACATCGGACGCACAGCTTCACAGCTTCCGCGGCACAGCTTAAATACGCTGATGAGTGCGGAGAGGAGACGAGAACATTAGTCTTGCATGCGTTGGTCAACATTTACAAGGGGACGAACCTGTGCTGGATGGCTAATCGCAGCCGACGTCCCCACTGCGTGTTCCGCCGGCGCCCCACCGACGCTGCCTGGTTCGGCGCAGAGTCACGTGTGTTTCGTGATGGAGTACGCCGCTGGAGGAGACCTGATGATGCACATCCAGGCGGGCATCTTCAGCGAGTCCCGAGCCGTGTTCTGCGCCGCCTGCGTCCTTCTGGGACTACAGTATCTACACGAGAACGGCATCATCTACAGGTGATACGCCGCGGCGGTGGATTATCACAAGCCAGGGGAGTACTTACTCAGCACCACACTGCGAAAGCATGGGATCAACACCGTGAATGACAAACACAATACGTATCTTATTGGAAATCGGACGTTTTTTGGATCGCTTAGAATGAGTGTATAAACGCTGATGGCACACAGCGATTTTGGCCATAGACGCGTCAGTACAAAACCTTTGGTGTGTCGCCAAATCCCATACAGGTGCTCAGGCACAGCACGACAGATTAAGAAAAAAGTAATATATTTTGGTCGTTTTCCCCCTGCCGTGAGCAATGTGTCACGCCACCACACCACCATACCACCACACCACCACACCACCACACCACCACACCACCACACCACCACACCACCACACCACCACACCACCACACCACCACCACACCACCACACCAACGCACCACCACACCACCATACTTGTTTGTAGGATACTCTGCTGAATGAGTTCATTTAATCACCGCCTGCGGGAAGGCAAAGCTGAAGAGCCTGCCGCCCTCTTGCCGGCAGGGACCTGAAGCTGGACAACCTCCTGCTGGACGCCGACGGCTTCGTCAAACTGGCCGACTTCGGCCTGTGCAAAGAAGGCGTGGGCGCGGGCGGCCGCACGAGCACCTTCTGCGGCACGCCCGAGTTCCTGGCGCCCGAGGTGCTCACCGAGCACACGTACACGCGCGCCGTCGACTGGTGGGGACTCGGCGTGCTCATCTTCGAGATGCTGGTGGGCGAGTCGCCATTCCCCGGCACCGACGAGGAGGAGGTGTTCGCCAGCATCGTGCACGACGAGCCCAGCTACCCGCGCTTCCTGTCGCTCCGCGCCGTCGCCATTATGCGCCGGGTGAGGGCGACAGCACAGTACATGCTGGGCGACAGTACTAGTGGAAGCTTATGTGCAGAGAGGGTTTAGCTGGCCATGGAAATAGGGGAAAGTTGATGTGAACGTTCTAGAAGGACGTGGGGTGAGCATGGTGCCTGCAGATCTTTTGAAGGCGCACCATCTTAAGCCGTTTTCATAGAACACGCTCGAACGTGTGCTTAATGGGCTATAAAACCAGCAGAAAAGCAATGAAATTGCATAGTGCCCCTTTCAAAGTCCCTCAAATCAAGCATCAATAAGTGAACCCAGGCAAACAGCGGCGTACAGGGTGGCAGTCTGACACTGCCGCAGTGTGCCCCGTCCTTGGCTGCCCCTGCTGTAGATTAACCCGCCGCAGCCTGCCCCCGCCCCAGACCGACCCCATCGTAGACTGACCCCACCGCAGTCTGCCTCCGCCGATGACAGACCCGCCGCAGCCCGCCCCCGCCGTAGACTGACCCGCCGCAGCCCGCCCCCGCCGCAGACTGACCCCATCGTAGACTGACCCAACCGCAGCCTGCACCCGCGGTAGACTGACCCGCCGCAGCCTGCCCCCGCTGCAGACTGACCTCACCGCAGCCTGCCCCCGCCGTAGACTGACCCCGCCGCAGCCTGCCCCCGCCCCAGACTGACCCCATCGTAGACTGACCCCACCGCAGTCTGCCTCCGCCGTAGACAGACCCGCCGCAGCCCGCCCCCGCCGTAGACTGACCAGCCGCAGCCTGCCCCCGCCGCAGACTGACCCCATAGTAGACTGACCCCACCGCAGCCTGCCCGCGCCGTAGACTGACCCCACGGCAGCCTGCCTCCGCCGTAGACTGATCCGCCGCAGCCTGGCCCCGCCGTAGACTGCCCCACCGCAGCCTGCCCCCGCCGTAGACCGACCCGCCGCAGCCTGCCCCCGCCGTAGACTGACCCGACGCAGCCTGTCCCCGCCGTAGACTGACCCTCCGCAGCCTGCCCCCGCCGTAGACTGACCCCGCCGCAGCCTGCCCCCGGCTGTGTGACCAGCCCCTGACGTCGGTCGGCGCCGCTGCTGCAGCTCCTGCGCAAGGAGGCGGGCCGCCGCCTGGGCGCCGGCCGCCGCGGTGCCGGGGACGTGCGTCGGCAGGCCTTCTTCGCCGGCGTGCCGTGGCGCGAGCTGCGCGCCAGGCGCCTCAAGCCGCCGTTCGTGCCCACTGTGGTGAGTCGGTGGGCATGAGCGTCATCAGTGGCATGTGCCACCATGAGCGCGCTGGAATCGCTGCGTATTTGCGTAGTGTGTCGTAGTATTGCCTAATATATTCGTTCAGCCATCAACTCCTGTAGTTTTTAAAGTATTGGCTTGCAATGAAGATTGATTATTTTCAACATAGGAACTCCACATGCTAATGGGATACATTTGGAAGGTGGGTCTGGCTTGTATGCATTCAGGCAATTATACTTTTTAAAGGTTTTAACTGCCGTTGTTTTCCTACACCTCTCGCTTCAACTACCTTACTTGGTAGACTGTTGATACTTCAGACCTGTTTTATGCGCTGGGTCGACCGCGTCCGTGGCTGATGTTACTCTATTGGTTGGTGGTGCACATAAAATGTGTGCGCAAGCCTTGCGTAACTGCGGTGCAATAACCGGGAAGCTGTCTTCTGATTGGCATGAGACAGAGCCACCTCTGGGGAACAGAACCATCTTTGGGGAAGCCAAATGTGCTCCGGCAAAACTTAACCGAGTCCGACTCCACACCACTACTGACCGATGCCCGTACTGACTGCTCCTCCCCCCCCCCCCCCACGCCCACCTCTTCGGCAGCGGAACACGGAGGACGTGTCCAACTTTGATGCCGAGTTCACGGCGGAGCGTGCTGTGCTGACGCCACCCGGCACCGAGTGGCGGGTCACGGAAGCCCAGCAGCGCCAATTCGCCGACTTCACCTACACGGCCGACTGGTGCTGATGAGGGACGGCCGGCGGACAAGGCCCGGCAGGGGTACGAGACGACAGGGGTGCGGTCAGGGGTGCGGGGTGCAGACGACAGGGGTGCGGTCCACCTCACACTACCGGCAATCAAAATAAATGTGATTATTTTCACCGATGCGCGTGGTAGCACATCGAGCAGCAGCGCGCACTTATAAATTGTCGTCACAAGGGCCATCAGCCTGCTTTTTTGTATCGCGCTTTGCCAGTGTCAAGATGATGGCGCTGAATTGCAATGACGCTGAATACCTGTGTTGATCGCCTGCGAGACCAACATGTCGATCACAGCGGCTAGGTAATTTGAGAAGCGGGGCAAAAAGGGGCATTGACAGAGGGACGGGTCGCCTGCTGAAGCGAGTCCCTCTCCACCACCAGCTGTGATCCGTGTAACCACAGCGGACGGCTTCCATTGCCTTCTTGCGTGTCATGCCAGCCTGCGAGGCCGGTCAGAAAAGCAGCTTTTCGGCGCCCCATGACGGCCGCCGACACTGTGTTGATAGGTGGGAGCTGTGCCGACACGCGCAGCACGCATACACTGCATCCGTTCGCAGGAATAGACAAAGATGGGCGGGCTCTGACGCTTTTCTGGTCGGCTGGTGATATTTCTGACGCCAACGGAAGCCCGTATATCGCTAGTCACCGCTAGATGTCAGCCGATGTGACGATACCGTGTTCAGTCGGAGAAAATAAACAGACGATTGGAGATTTGTTTTTGAGCCTGCGTAAGGCATGCAATGGTGCTGGTTCCAGCGGTGACACCAAAGCGGATCTGCATCCTGGACGTACTCATATATCCCATAAGGGAATTTCCTAACCAATGTAAACGGTGAAAATCTCAGCGTTTTATAAGGTATGACTTCTTCAGCTGCAGTTGATGCTTTTTTGACGACTATGTTAAAACAATTGCTTT